GGGGGGGGGGGGTGTCAGGCTGGGCCCCACCGGGCTCCACTGCCCAGCTGACAGTGGGACTGTCTCCCTTTCCTGTGTCCACTGCCCACCCACTGCCCCTCACCTCTTTGCCCTCCTTGTCTGGGGTGAGGATGTGGCCTGCAGCAGGGCACACAACAGGGCAGAGGGCACTGCTGGTGCTCTTATGACGCAGGTGGCCCTTGCGGGGCACGGCCTTGGTGGGGCTCAGCAGCTGTGGGTGGAGCTCTCGGTTGGGAGAGGCCGGTGTGGACGTGATGACCAGTGTCTTCAAGGCTGTCACCTCTGCCTGCAGCATGTCGATCTGGCCAGAATGAGATGGCTGCCAACCTTAGCCCAGAGTGGATGCCACCCTGGCTGCCACCGCCTGCCATGCCAGCTCAGGACAGCAGCAACTGGCACCTAACCCCAAGAGTTAACCTTGGAACAGCCCACAAGGTGGGACCTGAGACAACTATCTTACAGACAGGAAAACTGAGGCTCAGAGAGGTGACACGGCCTGCCTGAGGTCACACTGCAAGGCAGGACTGTTAGATGCCCATGTCTGGGAGCTGTCTGGGCTTCCCACTGAGGGGCACCCAGAAGCCAGGGACAGCCCAGCCCTCACATTTTACAGATGGACAAATGGGCTCCGACACAGGAAGTTACCTGCCCAGGCTCACACAGCCAGACTGGGGTTTCTGCTTTATAGAGGGGGTGTGCAGTGGAGGGGGGAAATGGCAAAGACCACGGGATCCTCCCTGCTCCTGGAAGGCCCCAGGAAGGTCTCTGTGGCACAGTGGAATTTCCAGGGTGTAATCTCTGCCCGGCCCTCTGAGCCTCTGTCTGTCCATCCCTGGTGGCCCACCGGGCCACACAGGGTCTGACTGAGTAGGGAGGTGGGCAGGAGCTCTGGGCAATTGGGGGCGGGGGAGCTCACCTTGCCCCGAGCCTCTTTTAGTTGCTTTTCTGACGCTGCCTGCTTCATGTTGGCTTCTCGAACCATCTTGTGGGCTTCCTGGGAAGAAGGCAGTGATGAGGAGCGGATGGACACCCAGCAACCCCAGTCCCCAGCTGGCCGGCCACGTACCTCGAACAGACTGGCCGTCAGCTCCTCCAGCTCCCGTTCCAGCTGCTCGCGGACCTTGGACAGCCGCTCACACTCCTCATCCTTCAGCTTTAGCTCCTGGGGGGCACGAGGTGGGTGGCTGTCACCCTTCAGGGGCCCTCAGGCCTGACACTGGGGAGACCAGGCCCCTGACCAGGCTCCATGCCCCGAGTCATCCTATGGGGGCTTGAGCATGCCTCGTGCGCCGCTCTACGCTCTAGTTTACGAGGCATTTTCCATTTAGCTCCTGGCAGGAGGCTGAAACCCCAGCTGTCAGTCCCTTAGAGCTTGGAACTGGTTTTCAGAGAACTGCCTTATACAAGTCAGCTTAGAAGCCCTGGTCTGTCCTTCGTTTGCACTTCCCTCGTGCCCCGCGCAGGCCTTGAGAGGTGCATGAGATCTCTGGGCATTCTGCGGGAGCCCACAGCTCTCCCAGGTACCCCTCAGGCCCCCACCTTCTGGGCTTTGTGCAGCTCCTCCTTCAGGAACTCTGAGCCCTTCTCGCGGATCTCCATGGACGAGCTGCGAAGGCGAGACACGTCCAGCCGGGCCTGGGCGGCTGCAGGGCCCTCCTCACCTGGGGTCTCCTCCTCTGCAGAGGCCTCCACCTGGTCTCCCGGGGACTCCCTGCAGCCTTTGCAGGAGTCCACACTCTTCCAGGAGACCGAGACAGCTTCAAGGGGCGGCAGGTGGCCCTCGTCCGGTTGGGGCTGGCTGTGAGGCAAACAGTAAACATGGGGTGGGGTCCTGAGACCTAGAGAGCTGAGCTCAGGGACCAACCCTGGGCAACATATCTACCATTCTGGGCTCAGTTTCCCCCTCTGTAAAAGAGGGATGCTGCCAGTGAGGCCATCACCAGGGTTGTCACAAGGGCAGAATGGCCAAACGAAATCTCTTGGGGGCAAGAACAGGACTCATTTATCTTTGTCCACCACAACCCCTCCAGCCCAGGACCTAGGACTGTGTGTGTGGCACACAGTAGGTGGTCAGCACACAGCAGGTGCTCGGTTCTGTTTGTCCAACAGGTGATTGTCAGTTCATTGGTGTTGAGATCTGAGTTTCCACTTGCATTGTGTGGACAATATCAAGGGTTGCTGAATGCATAAAACCTTGACACACAAGAGGCACTTAACTGCCTTTGTTATTACTGTTAATGTAAATTTTATGCAAATTAAGGGCAGACCAGAGAGGAAGGACCAGCCAGGGCTGGCAGGGCTGAGGCCAAAAGATTCCTGGAACAGCAAGGCAGACCCACTTCCTGCCCCCTGGACCCAGCTCTCCCAGGTCTGCCTTGTGACTTCAGGCAAACCGCACCACCACCACC